AGTTCATTAGCTACTTGACAGAGAAGCTCCCAGATCCAGAGACATAAAGAGGAAGTGTCAGGGCTGGACCACTGCAGAGCCATCAGAAATGAAGATAAAGCCGCCTGCCAGTAAGGAGGGCTGACAGCAGGGACAGTGGCTCCCTCTGGGCATACAGCCGTGCAGGTGGCCGATGGCCACAGCTCAGGCAGACTTCGGACTCACTGTGCCCCCAGCCTTGCGGCTGGCTTCCCCAGCTCTCATCCACGCCTCATGCCACCACCCTGGAGAAGACTAAGGTGTCCAACAATACTGACTAAGGCAACAGCAGCCCCACATTCACCCTGTGGAACGGTATCTGGCCATTGAAAATGGGTGTTTGTGAAGACTTTTCCTTGTGTGGGGAAGCGGATCAGAATGAAAGCAACAGCGTCAACCCAGTGAATGAAATTTACACATAGAAAAAGAGCACCAAAGCCAGTGATCCCAGCACTCGGAACGCAGAGAAAGGAAGTCGGGAGTTCAAGGCTACCTTCAGCAATTTAGTAAGCTCAGGTCAACCCCGGGCTAGGTGAGGCTCTCTTCTCAAAAAAACCAAAACTAAACAAAAGCTAGGGAATGGGATTCCTTAGCCCTCACTGACAGTGATTGTCACCGGGTGGTTGGGACAGGAGAGACTCTGAGTCACTCTCCTTCATTGTACAAGGTCTGTGCCTTGAGACTGATAACAGCTAACCAATGTTTACTTTAAGAACAAAAGATGATGTCTGTGTCCATCTGTGTTCATCCTATCCTGCTACCCACAAGCAAAGACAGGCCCAAGAAGGCAAGGGACTTCGCCACCCAAGTCCGGTGGGCCCAAGGCCATCGTGTCTTGCCCTGGGTTGCGGCAACCTCTAGCAGCCACCTCAGAGCTTCCGGAGGAGACCCACAGCAGATGCTGGGGTGTGTTTCCACAATCACCTCTCAAACAGCATTTGGGGTCTAGAAGCTTCCTGGGAGCCAAGCAACCCACCCCAGCCATCACCTCACACAGTATAAGTGCCAGTCCTCACTGGCACTCAACTGGGAGGAACCAAGCATGGGTACCTTCATGTAGCCAGGAGTCTGCGAGTCTTCAGCCCCATGACCCAGAGATGGAGACCCAGAGTAGAGCTGGATGTGTGCCCTGCAAGAAGAGTGGGCTAGGGGGCACTCTACAGGCTTCTCACTGACCCCTGCCAATAGCAGGAACCACACTGTGGAATTCCTGTAGTAAGCTGTAGTGAGTTGGTCGGGGGTCCCCAAAGACATGGCCACCCAGAGACTGTAAATATAATTAATTTGGAAAATTGGGAACACAAGCATTTGGGGTGTGCACGCGAGTGCACGTGAAGGCTGAAGGTTGATATCATATGTCTTCCTCATCACTCTCGCCTTAGTTTCTGAGATAGGCTCTCTCACTGAACACAGAGCGAGCTCACAGAACACTGCCAGCCAGGCTGGTTGGCCAACAAGCCCAGGATGTTCCTGTCTCTACCTCTCCAGCGCTGGGATTACAAACACCCACCACAAAGCCCAGATTTGTTTAAATATGGGTTCTAGGGATCAAACTCAAGTCCCATGCTTGGGTGGCAAACTCTCTACCACCTGAGTCATCTCTCCAGCCCGTAATTAAGCATTCTGAGAGCATTCTGGGTTAACTCCGCCAAGTGACATGTGTCCTCAGGAGACAGAAGAGGGTTAGAAATTCAGGGAGACACAGGTGAAGACAGGCAGAGCTGGGAGATGGTCACAGAGGACCAGGGATGGCCAGATTCCACAGAGCCAGAGTCTGCCTCCCCGGCACCCCACCCCGAGCCTCCTGAGTAACCACTTCAAACCTCTGGTCTCCAGAGCTGGAAGCCAATCCCCTTCACAGTTCTAAGCCCTCCAGGTTGTGGCCGAGGCCTTCTCACCAACGCTGTGTCTAAGGACATAGGTTCTCTGGTCATCCTCATCTCCACAAGACATGGAAGCCGCAAAAAAGAGGGTGAGTTACTTCTCAGTGGTTCCACGGCCACGATTGGTAAGCCTGGACAGGGCTGTCAGCTCTCAGAGTCCCTAAATACTTAGAACTGATAGACTGCCCAACTCTAACAGGCTGTGTGACCCCCATCCAAGTCACTTAACATCTCTGAGTCTCCGTTTCCTCATTTCCTCGCTTACAAATGGAGAGGAACATCAGAGACAACCTGAGAGTTGTCATGAGGATCTGGGAACTAAGACAAGCTTTACTGAGGGAGCGCTCGCTCCTGCACTAGGGTCCCCTCTGCACCCCTTCTGTCATGGAGACACCCCCATGGCTGCAGCCTCTCTCCAGCCGTGGCCCAGCATCCCCCAGCCACTCGCAGCCAGCCAGGACAGCATCAGCTCTCCCTCAGCCACAGCTCATGCTCATAAATTAGGCGCAGGCTAATTGTGGCTTTATAGGCTGGTGGGAGATGTGCTTTTAAAAACACACAGCAGCCCTGCTGAGTGAGTGCCTGGTTGTATAAAACTCTTTTAGGCAGAAATGTATGGGCTGCTCAGAGCTGACTCTCAGGGATGGCAGCTCGTCTGTCATGCCTTCTCCTCCCAAGCTAAGTGGTACAAAAGCAGCTGCTCTGACTGCCAGCCTTGCCTCTGTGTCCCCAGCTGGAGCCTGCCTCACACTGTCCCCAGCCTCACACTGTCCCCAGCACAGCCACCTGCACAGGGCGCAGGGGTCAGTGGTAGTTGGGACTGCCTTCTCCAGGACCTTCTCAAACAGTGGAGAACCCTGCCCTGCTCATGAGTTGTGGAGAGATCCACAGCTGTCCCTGATCTCTCCCTCCCAAGTCTGTGACCCATGCCCGTCCACACGGGACACAGAGCTGCAAGGCACTCCCACAAGTACAGTCCGTGTTGACTAAGACAATGGGAGCTGGTCAAGAGTGAGGGCAGACTCTATCCCTCCACCCGCTGGGCAAGAATTAGGTTTGACTCTTAGGTTGAAGTCACAAGCAACACGCACAGAGTGCTGTCTGTCTAACAATACGACTACTGCCATTCAAAAATATTACCCAGGACATTCCAGAAATCATTTATAATAGCTCTAATTGCAGTGTACTGTCATGTGCGTTCTGTTGTGGAAGTTGTTAGACACTCATCGTGTCCAATTTCTAAATTAAACCTTACCACTAGAATGTCTGCACACTGGGGGCTCAGAGTGTCCTGCAGCTCCCATCCTTCAAGTCAGGCAGAGTGCCTGACTTCATCCTGTGCGGTAGGTACTGACTGCATCCCTGTTCTGCAGATGGAGAAACTGAGGCATGAGGCAGTCACAAAGCTTGCCCAATGCCAGCTGCAGAGTGTGGGGAACGGGATTCAAATCCAAGCACTGATGCCTGCTGCCCTCCACCTCAGCCTGAGTCTGTGAGCAACATCGGCCCTCAGCTTGTTTGTGCTGTCGACAGTGTTGTGGGAACACAGTTGTGCATTATGCTGTCTATAGCAAGGAGCTGAGTAGTGGTGTCAGCAAGGTGGACAGAGTGGGGGTAAGAGGGAGCTGCAGGCGTGAGCAGGGCTGTGTTCAGGGTGCTCGCCACAAGCAGGTAATCTCACGCCACCTGAGCAATAGCCCCAAGAGAGGCCTCTCCGCCACTCACACCGAGTAGGTGGGAACCTGAGGTTTAAGAAGGTGTCAGCAAGCTTTCTTTACAAAGAGCTAGAAGCCATAAGTTTAGGCTTGGAGGTGAGGAGATACATGTCACCACCACTATGGGGGATGGGGGGAGAAGGTGCCCTTGGAGGCCAAAAGAGGGCCTCGGTTCCCCTGGAATTGGAATTAGAGGTGGTTGTGAGCTGCCAAACGCGGGGCTGGGACTGAACTGAGGCTCTCTAGAAGAGAAACAAGCGCTCCTACCTGCCGAGCCGTCTCTCCAGTCCCCAGAAGAGTCTTTTAGTGTGTATTGTTTTGCCTTTGTGTAGGTCTGTGTGCCACATGCTTTTCTGGTGCCTGAGGAGTTCAGAAGAGGATGTCCAGTCTCCGAAAACTGGAGTTATATATGGTTCTGGGCCACCACCATATGGGTGCTGGGAACTGAACCCGTGTCCTCTGCAAGAACAGCCAGTGCTCTTAATCACTGAGTCACCTCTCCAGGACTAAAAGCTTTTCTTAAAATTGAATTGCATTAGGGGTGTGTGTGTGTGTGTGTGTGTGTGTGTGTGAAGGTGTGTGAGTGCCATAACTGGAAGTCAGAGGACAACTTGCAGGCCAGCTCTTTCCACCACATGGGTACAGGAGTTGAACTTGGGTCTTCAGACCTCATAGCAAGCCAGTGCCTCTACCCATTGAGCCTCCTGGCCAGCCCGGAAAGGCTTTTTTAAAAAAGGAATTTGGATATTAAATTGAAATTCAACCCTCTGATGAGTTAGGTCTCCAGCAGTGCAGCCACACACACCAGAGAGAAGCCACTAAATAAACAGTAGCTAATTTGCACAGGGTTGAGCCCTGACCCACTTTAGGGTCTGAACAGCCTCTTTATGCAAGTCTATTTATCACTGACCCAGTTTCCTTCACTTTTTACCAAAGCATGGACTCTTCAGCCCCGAGCAAAAACTCAGTTTGTTATTTAAATGATTCGGTTTGTATATCTGAGCATTTGAACTGCATTATATTTACAATTACAGCCCATTGTTGAACGTATGGTGCACCCAGGCTGCCACGTAAGCTGCAAAGGCTGTGCACTGCCCAGTGCTGAGGATCACTGCTTACACTGTGCTCCTGGATTTGTCCATGAATTACGACAGCTGTCTATCAAATGGCAGTCAAGCATCTCAAGGAAGGGATGTGGGTTTGCTCAGAAGACCTTGAGCCTGGGGTGGAGGGAACAGCCGTCAAGACAAAACCCAGAGTCGGCGTTCACAGTCTGAGACACTTGGAGAGGTGAGGGCAGGGCTGGCCATGGAAGGACTGTGCCACAGCTGCCCTGGGGAGGCTGGCCAGGGAACTGCAAAGTGCAGAGACGAGATGAGGGACAGGGGCAAGAGAAAGGGGGAGAATTTTCTAGTCTGGGGTTCAGCGGCAGCGTGAGCTGAAGGGGGGCCTGGCCAACTCACGCTCCCCATGGAACAGCAGACTTTCTGTTGGAGCGAGTCAGTGTACCTTCTCCCCTGACTCACTGGGAGCATGTCCTGTGGAAGGATCTAGAATGTTTTCTTTCTTCTTGCTCAGGGCACACCAGGCAGAACCAGCCAGGAGGGAAGAACATTTGGCGCCAGGACTTAGTCACAGGTGCAGGAGACCTAGAACATTCTGTGTCTAGAGAAGTGAGCCCTTGGCTTGGCTTGGCTGGCTGCCAGCTTGCTGCAAACAGAACCAGACTCTTAGGGGCCTAGTGTGAGCCCGAGCCTAAGGCTTCCCTCCAGCTTGTCCTGGGCTTTATACCCCACCTCTTCTCAGCCTCAGAAGCCAGGGGAGTCCCCACAGGCTCCCTCTGCTCCAGCCTTGTTCCTGTCATCTCTGTGCTGTGTGGCTCTGAGTGAGTTACTATACCTCTCTGAGTCACTCTGTTTCCCACCCATCAGCTGCCCTACTGAGGCAACCCACTCCTTAGGGTTCTTCCACCTTTCAACAGTTCTCCATAGGCTTCCAATGAGAACCCACATTCCAGAGGTGACTCAAGTCTGGCGAGCAGGAGGCCCCAAGGTGGCCTTCTGCCCAAAGATGGCGGAGTGAGTGAAAAGGAAGTTGTGCAGAGCGTGCTCATTGCAGAACTTGCAGTCCTGGGCTGGAGCACAAGCCTCCAGGACCGAGAGGGAGGCGCTGGGGTCTTAAGAACAGGTGGGGCTGGGGTATGATGGAGATGACAGGCAGACGGGGCACTGATTAGTGAACTCCCTCTCCATGTGAACACGCACAGCGAGCCTGGAAGGCTGGGCCGCTCCCTCATCCTAACAGAAGATGGGTTTGCAAGGAGCCAGAGGAGACCCTTGAGTCTTAAGGGACTCTGACCCTTTGAAGACCTGATGGTCCTGAGAACACGGAGTTGGGCCGTGAGTAGAGGGCCCCGGGTGGTCACTCTAAGCTCATGTGAATGACAGAGCTGCGCTCCTGACCCAGGCTGACTGGCGGTTCCTTCCATCCTCTGGGCTGCAAATATCTGTGGACCTTGGTGTCGGTTACCAGACACCAGCCTGGAAGATATGAGGCCGAGCTTCAGCAGCCTTGTTGCCACCATGAGGAGAGAGCCCATCTGAAGGTGACAAAGAAGAAACTAACCTTTAACATGGAACCAGGCACTGGGAACCAGTGGGGGTGGGGTGCGGGGAGGCTCAGTGGCTGAGCATGTGTTTGCACGTGACAGACCTGGGTCTCCAAACTCGTTATGGGAACCAGTCAGATACCTCCCCCAGCTGCCTGGACCCTAGTGTGGGGAAGGATGCTGAGCTGGGTAAGGGATGCCAGGGAACCTCCCAAGACTGATTTCCTGGATCCAACCCATGTGTGGGAAGAAGAAAATGAGGTTGTGTGTCACCTGTTGCATGTCCTCTGTCCTAAAGGCATCAGGCAGAAGTAACAGACCTGCAGCCATGGCAGAGATGTGACAAGAGGTGAGGAGACCACCGTGGGAACCATCCAGGTTGTGAGGGTGGCAGCTTGACCATAAGCTCTGAAGCAACCCTCTGAGGGTCCAAAGCCACCAAGCAATAGAGCCCCACGAAATGTGCTGTCTGCACAATGTACCACCTGGCTTTGTGCGGAGTCCCCCACCACGACTCGGGCTGCTGGAATTCTCAGGGTGGAAACCTCTCCAGTCACACTTGACTGCCATGAGACCTCCCCTTAGACACCTCAGGAGACAGGACAGGCTGGATATGGAAAGAGGGAAGGGCTACTCCATGGAGCTCTCTGGCTGCTCCTCCAGAAGCTCTGATGGAACTGCAGAACCAAGGCCCCAGCAGAGAAGTAGTTACTGCCCAGGAGCAAATGGATCCCAGGAGGAGTCCTGTATGCAGGCTAATGGGCTACCCTGGGCTCACATAGAGAAGAAGGGAAATTACAAGCTTGAAAAGATCAGGTGGCTGGGGAGCCAGCAGGTGCCTCCACCCCAACTCCACAGTGGCCAAGGCAGGAATGTGGCCTCACCCCCACCCCAGTCACCCCAAATCAGAGCTGCCTTGAATCCAAGGATCAGAGCTACCAGAGCCCACTCAGCTCAAAGGAGCTCCTGAGACCTGACCAGCCAGGCATGGCTCCCAATTAAAAATGCATCGATTGTTAGTGCGGGAAGGGGGTGGGTATGGCGATTAAATCTGTTCTCTATACCCAACACTTTGTTGAATTTGCTTGTGTGACTTGGAAAGTGACCCCAGCTCATACAGAAGGAACTGTTCCATGTACTGGACACCCTGCGAATCAATTCTAACCCTTGAACCCTTCACCGCAAATCTCTGTGGGCCAGGTACAGCTACAGCTGCTCAGGAGCTGGACTGCTATGGAGTCTGACTGCAGAGCTGTGGCCTGGGCCTCCTCCCCCGTTCCATCTTGCAAACATGGCTGCCGACCATCATGTGTCACGGTCAGTCACTGTTTTGGCCACATGTCCATGTGTCCTCTCCGACAGCTGAGACAAGGGTCTAAACTCTATAGCTGAGACATACCCCACTGTCACCCTATCAGAGAAACTCCAGAAAGCCTAGTGGGGTCACAGCTCTCTGAGAGACAGACATGGTTTATGTCACCAGAGTCACCTGCCAGCTGGGAATCACATTCTTGACAAGGTCGTCACACCACGTTGGCAGGAACACGGGGTCAAATCCAGCCCATGAGAAAACAGGTGTCTGAAGCTCAAGCAAAGACAGACCACGAGGCTGCCGTCACGTGACCCATCTGGTGCATGGCTGAGCACAGGAGCACCCCAAAGAGAATGAAAAGGGGCGGGGCCTATGAGATGGGTCAATGGCTAACGGTGTTCTGTCCAGGCTGAGGGCCTGAGTTTGATCTCCGGAATCTACATTGTAGAAGACGAGAACTGACTTCCGCAAATTGTCCTCCGACCCCCCATATGTGCTGCTGTGGCATGCATGCACACAAACAAACAATGTAATTTAATTTTTTTTTTTTTTAATGAGAAGGGCTCAGATAGGAAGCATTGACAGGCCGGTCAGTGTCATCAAGTGTGACCGACTGAGTGATGGATTTTGTAATGCTGGTGATGAAACCTGGGGACGTGGTCTGCTGAGCAAGCGCCTAACCACAGAGCCACACCCTGGGTGAGGGAGAGTGGCACCGTGGCTCCTGTCTCTTTTGGAAAGTGAGATGGAGTAGCTGGAGCCAGACAAGCACCGAGGTACACCTAAAGAGAGGAGTGGGAAGTCGAGGCAGAGCTCAAAGGTCAGGCAGGGGCTCCGACACCAAGCAGCAGGGAGTTGGTCTCAGCTCCCTTCTTCCTGGCTGTGTGACCCCAGGCAAGTCACTCAACCTCTCTGAGACTCAGTTTAGCCTCTGAAGAATGAAGATATTGTAAATATTCATACTCCTATTTCTGTGATTACATTTCATAGTATATATAAGCATATGCCTACATCATTCAATATATGCAACTTAACACAGACACCATTTCAAGTATGCGGCAGGCACTCAGCCAATGATAACAGCTATTAGCACCATTGCTACAGTTACGATCATAATTCTATGACAGGGAACAGAGTCAGAGGAGGGAAAACCAGCCTGGGCTTGACGAAGGTTCTGGCCCTGGTGGACAGCAGAAGCCTTCCTTCAATACCACCCAGCACACAGGCAAGCGGGGGCTTTGCAGCCACAGTAATAAGGACCTAGCTTGCTAACGCTGCTCACACTCAGGTTCGCTTTAATCAAAAGCAAGCCGAGGCAGTCACTGGTCTCAGGGTCCCCGAGGCTCATTTCTTCTCCACAGGGCTCAGCAGGCAAACCCGGCCAAGTGGGGAGCCGACAGCTCAGAAAATTGCAGGAGCCTATGATTGAGGGGACCTCGAGCACGGGAGGTGAATGAGCTCCTAACTGCCTGCATCCCTGTCTCCCGGCAGTGGTGTGATGGGAAGGACCCGCACGAGGGAGGCAGACCAAGCCGCAGCCAGCCTGCCTGGGTGGGCACAGTGTCCTGGACCCACGGAGGCCACTCTGAGCTGGCTCCTTGACCACTTTAAGCCTCCGTTTCAGGAAGGGAGGGGTCACCTGTGTTTCTCCAGCTTCTGTTGCTGATAGTGACGAGCAGTAGTGGTTAATGTGAATCACATAGCAGATACCAAGGAGGCAGGTGGCAAGGGCACACTCTCTCAGAGACAGCCAGGAAGAGAGAGAGAAGCACTGGCCTCTTGGCTCCTCATCCAGGGTGACGAAGTGTCCCAAAGGTCGCCAGAACAAAGAGCCCTTTGGGTTGGTGAGATGGCCTTGTGGGTAAAGTTCCTTGCTGCCAAGTCTGACAACATGAATTCAATCCTCAGGCCCCACATGATGGAAGCAGAGAATATACCCTGCTGATCACACACCACACACACACACACACACACACACACACACACACACACACACACACACCACAACATATACTAAGAATATGTATTTTTTTAAAGCCCCCAGTCCCCCAGGACAAGTCATCTGAATGTCACACACCTGGGCCAGCGTCAGCTTTTCTGCCAACTGCTGTTTGCTGGGATCACCAAGGAGATTAGGGAGGCCACCCTCAGACAGCCCCACAGACCTTTGCTTTGATGACAATCGCAGGGGACATCGATCAGTGGCGACCAGCCTGAGCTCCTATAGAACATCTGTGTCTAGCCTCGCTAAAGCTGGAGGGAGCTGGTTGGAGCGCATGGTGGAGGTCACCCACAGACATGAGGTGAGACCCACAGACATGAGGTGAGACTCCCCAGTGCCCTTTGGCTTTTTCTTTCCCAAAACATCTATGGAATCAAAAATAAGTTGTCAAGCCAGGTGGCAGTGGCACACACCTTTAATCCCAGCACTCCGGAGGCAGAGCCAGGAGGATCTCTGTGAGTTCGAGGCCAGCCTGGGCTACAGAGTGAGTTCCAGGACAGGCACCAAAACTACATGGAGAAACCCTGATTCAAAACAACAAAACAAAAAGTTGTCTAGACCCTGGCTGGCATGAAAATGTGTTCTGGAGCAAAACGGAGACCCTTGCGGTGAGACAGCGCTGGTCTTCTCCATCTCCAGGAGATGCACGTCCTAGAACAGCCACCCCGGGCTCTCCCTCCTCCTCACTGCCCCGGGCTCTCCCTCCTCCTCACTGCCCCGGGCTCTCCCTCCTCCTCACTGCCCTGGGCTTCCAGGAACACGCAGGCAAGCTCTCTGAAGGCACACCAGCGCTCTAACGAGCAGCTCTGTCCATCCTAGCTGCTGAAACCTGGACTGGAATGATGGCGCCAAGCGGACTTTTTGCCGCCTTGACTAAGGCCTGAGACAAACTGAAGAAGGAAGGTCTCTCTGGTTCCTGGCCTCAGAGGTTTCTGTCCATGGTCTGTGGCGTGTTGGGAGGCAGAAGGGCATGGCGGAGGAAGGTCACCTCATTCATGGTGGTGTGAAGGAAAAAAGGAAGATGGCAAAGAAGACACACACGTGGGAGGGCGTGTCCTTTAAAGCAAGCCCTAGTGACTTGCTTCTTCCAACCACTCCGCCCCTGACTCTCCATAGCACTCACCCTCCTCCCAACAGAACAGCCAAGGTCTGACTCCATGGATACAGGATTCACTGATGAGGTCACTCTACAGTCACTGAGATGTCACTGAGTTCTGAGGACGGTCTTGAAGCTTATTCAACCTGGTGTTCTTTTTTATTTTTTTCATAGATCACACATTTGTTGAGGACCCAAGAGAGGACAGACAGGTGCTGAGGGCCTTTGCAACAGCAGCATCCCAAGGGAGGTTTTAGAGGCTGATCTCATGAAAATCTGTGAAAGGATATTTGGAGAAGAAAAGAAAGTGATTGGACAGCAAGGGGCTCAGATGTTGAGGGGCCGAATGGTGGGGAGTGGGGGAGACCTGCATCAGGATTTCCAAGATGCTGATGACAAGGAAGAAAACTTGCTGGTAAAGCCAGGGGAGTGGGGCTGGGGATGCTGCTCAAACAGTACAGCGCCGCCTGCCTAGCGAGCACAGAGTCCTGAGGTTCCGTTCCCGGCACCTCGTAGAAGGTGGGAGCATGAGGATCAGAAGTTCAAGATCATCCTTGGCTATATTCGAGTTTGATCCCAGCCTGGGCTACACAAAACCCCATTTCAAAAAAAGAAGGAATGAAAGGGTGCTAGTGCCGTGGCTCGGTGCTTAGGACTGTCTGTTGCTCTTTCAGAGGACTAGAGTTCAGCTCCCAGCACCCATGGCAGGCAGCTCACAACCATCAGTAATTCCAGGGACTCTAACATCCTCTTCTGGCTTCCCTGGGCACCCTCAGACATGTACACACACAGAAATAGTAATAATAATCATTTTTAAAGAGCTAATGAGTCGACTCAGTGGGCAAATGTGCCCTGTCTCCAAGGGATCTACCCACTGGATGGAGAGAAACAGCTCCCAAAAGTTGGCCTCTGCCACATGTGCTGTGGCACATGGAAACCCACATACACATGTGCATAAATGCACCATGTGTATACACACACACACAATAAATAAATAAGTATAATAAAATTTTTAAAAAGCATAAGAAGGGGAGAAACGTGAGGGAGACGCTCTCCTGTGGGGAGCAGAAGGCTTATTTTGTTAATTTATTTTATTTTTTTAAGATTTATTGTGATTTTATGTGCATTGGTGTCTTGCCTGCATGTGTGTCTGTGTCAGATCCCCTGGAACTGGAGTGACAGACAGTTGTGAGCTGCCACGTGGGTGCTGGGAATTGAACTCAGGTCCTCTGGAAGAGCAGCCAGTGCCCTTAACCGTTGAGCCATCTCTCCAGCCCAGAGCAGAAAGAAGTCTTGAATGGTGATACTCAGCATGATGGAAGATCTGAGGAAGGCAGAACTTGGTGACATTCCTCTTGGGAGTATACGTCATGTGTAGCCACAAGCTCTAAAATACACACAGTTTTGAGCAGCTTGCTCTCAGTCATGTGTCTTGAGACTCCGCTCCTAAAATGTTCTTTGTAAATTTGCTTCCACAGAGAAAATTGGGACCAACCTTAATATATTCTAAAAAAGAAAATTCGCAACAGTAGGTATTTGGTTAAATAAATAATGGGTTTATCCAGTCTGTGAATTATGAGAAAGCTGTGAACATTGCAGATGGGACCAT